GAAATCCATTTTCCCTTGTATTGCAGCAAGCAAATGAAGTAAATTTGTGCCTACTAAGGGAGAAGGCTTGGGCGGTGGATGGAAAACTAGGGTCATTGGTGGAGGGAAAGCTACACACTAGTGGTGAAATTGGTGTTGGAGTACTGACTACCTGAAATTATGAACAATTTGGAAATCGGTACTATAAATACGAGAATTCAAGACATCCCGGTAAGATAACCAAACCTCAGAATGATTATCAACATTATCACTATCCTAACAGGAGATGCTGGGTACCAAAATTAATGGACCCAACTACTAAGAAGGGGCTGGAGAGATGTACAGCAGGTAGGGTGATTGCCCTGCATGTGGCCAACCCAGGTTCTATCTCCAGTCCCCTACATGGTCTCTGAGCCCTTTGTAGGAGTGATCCCTGAGCACTGTCAAAAACAAAAAATCAAGAAAAAAAATAAGGAGTGGACACAGAGGACATATAAGTTATATCCTACAAAAACACAGTCATGATGAACTAAGGCAAGGAAAACCTTAGCCAGTTAACCTAGACCTGTGTTTTCCCAAAGTGGATGAAACTGCCTACCCCATGATGGGAAAAGGGGAACAGCAGAAAAACCCAGGAAGGAGGTATTAGCCCTGGTTTTAATGGGGGGGGAAAGGAAGAGAGCGTCACTTTCGGCCCTTCACCTTAGAAGGCAAGCTGGCCAAAGAGGTGGAGAGGCTGAGTAATATTTTTCTGAAAAGGGGGTAACAGGCCAAATCAGCTCTGGGAACTTCTTAGAAGAAAATGATGGGGCTGGAGCGATAGCACAGTGGGTAGGGCATTTGCCTTGCACGCGGCCGACCCAGGTTCAATTCCCAACATCCCATATGGTCCCCCGAGCACCGCCAGGAGTAATTACTGAGTGCATGAGCCAGGAGTAACCCCTGTGTAACACCGTGTGTGAGCCAAAAAGAAAAAAAAAAAAGAATGAAAGAAAATGACAATTGCAGCAGCAGCAAAATTTTCATTGTCAGTATTATGCTCACAGCTATTACAACCAGCATCACTCTCAGTCCTTTAATTCTAATTCTAGAGAGTTTATACACATGGAAGCACTCCCCTAAACATAGCTAATAGCACATCTCACCATTTTCCCGCCTTCCCATCAGTGTGTTTTTTTCTGGAGGCATAGAGGGATTTGGGCCACATGTGGCTATACTCTCATGGCTCTGTACTCCAGGGACCGTAAGCAATTCCAGGAATCAAAACCACAGTTGACCTTGTACAAGGCAAGTGCCTTAAGCCCTGTATTATCTCTCCAGTTTTCCAATAATCTTTTTTTTTTTTTTGCTTTTTGGGTCATACCTGGTGATGCTCAGGGGTTACTTCTGGCTTTGCACTCAGGAATTACTCCTGGCAGTGCTCAGGGGTGCTCATATGGGATGCTGGGAATAGAACCCGGGTCAGCTGTGTGCAAGGCAAATGCCCCACCCACTGTGCTATCACTCCAGCCCCAATTTTTTTTTTTAAATAAATGAAGCAAGCCAGGAATGAGATCAGTGGAGAGTGCATTACCTGCAAATGTGAGGCCTTGGGTTCAAACCCTGGCAACACAAAAATTAAATCATAAAGAGCCAGTACAGTGGGAAAGGTTCTTGCTTTGCAGGTAACCAACCTGAGTTCGATTTCCAGCACAGCATACTATCCCCTGAACAAAAAACTGCCAAGAGTAATCTCAGGCTCAGCCAGGTGCAGCCCCAAAATCCAGAACAATATTTTTTTTAAAAAGTAATAATAAATATAAGATTAAAACAAAACTAAGTTTTATTTATTTCCTCTCCCTTTGGAATACAGTGATAATCTTATTATATGTTTTAATTGTAACCATAAGAATCTGTAATATGGTTTTACATCTTTTCAAACTTTACCAAATAGGATTTGGTCTGCACTTTGCTTCCCCCTCACCCGGGGCGGGGGGAGGGTCAGGAGGAGGGAGCATGATGCTCAGGGGTTACTCTTAGCTGATCTCAGGGATCTCGCCTAAAGAGCTCTGTGGATCATATAAAGTGCTGGGGATCAAACCCAGCCGGCCACCTGCAAGCAAGAATCCTACCTGCTGTTCAGTCATTTGTTTTGCGAGGTTCTAGTTTTACTCATGAAATGGTATTGAATTGCATGAATATCACAATGTATTTGTCCACACTTTCACTATCTGTAGTGCTGAAAATGTTTCTAATTTTGTTTTGAAGACTCTAGTGGGGGCTGAGAGAAGAGATGCAACAGTTAGGGTGCTTGCCTTACACTCAGCACACCTGGGTTCAATCCCCAGAAACCCCTATTGTCCCTGAGGGCCACCAGGATTAATCCCCGAGTGCAGAGTCAGGAGTGAGCCCTGGGAACCACTGGATATGGCAAAAAGAGAAGGATAAAAAAAAAAAATCAAGATTCTGGAGTAGATGCACTGTTTTTAGGATATATTCCCAGCAAAACAGCTAGGTCAAAAGCACATGTATATAAAACTTTATTGGTCATCTAAATTATAAGAATTTCTATTTCTCCTCGTTCTCAGCCAGTCATGGTATCATACTGGGGGGTTTTGTTTTCAATAAGGAAGAGGCAGGGGTAGATGGAGGGTAGAACTCAGGGTATCACATGCGCTCTCCCACTTCAGCTCTTCTGGCCCTGTCATACTTTCTGTAAACTAATGTGTTAGTCTAATTAAGTGTAACACTAATTCAGTGGTTAACCTCAGCAGTTTGTTTTTTTCCCAGATTAGTAATATAAAGGATCCATTATTGGTCTTCCAGTCTCCTCTTATGTGGAATGTCTGTAAACAGTATTGCCATTTGTCTGCTGGGATCATTTTCCCGCTGGTATGTGATAGCTCTTAGGAGATCCTGGGTATGAGACCAGAACCATAAGAACAGCCGGCAGGGTTGCACACAACTGACCCGGGTTCGATCCAGGGCATCCCTTACGGTCCCAAGAGCACCACTAGGAGTAATTCTGAGTGCAGAGCCAGGATAAACCTCTGAGCATCACTGGGTGTGGCCCAAAGAAAACAAAACAGAGAGAGACAGAGTGTCTCTGGGTATCAATCATTTACTGACTGTGTGTTTTTAAATGGTCTTTTAAAAAACTAGCATAGCAATCAGAATGTTAGTATGGCAGGTAGGGTGCTTGTCATGCACAAGGTCAAGTTGGCCTCAATCCCAGGGACCAGATAGGATCCCCTGAGCCCTGCCAGGAGTGAGCCCTGAGCATAAAGCCAGGTACAGGGGGAAGGTGGGGGGGGGGGGGGGGGGGACAATGAACTAGTATAAACCGGTTACTGATTTTGAAATACGGTAAGGTATGAAACGTTGACAATTTCAGCCTTCTCAAGGCTCACTGCCATTTTCCAGGCCTTTCTGTCTCTCTACTAATCTTTGTTTGTTGGGGGCCACACCCAGCAGTGCTCATGGGTAGCTCCTGACTCTGCACTCAGGAAATAACTCCCAGGTGATGGTCTCAGGGGACCATAACGGATATGGAGGATGGAACCTGGATTGGGCCGTGTGCAAGACAAACACCCTACCCACTTTACCATCGCTCTCACATTTGTTTAGCCATAATTTAAAAGATTAAATCATTAAAGGCAATACAAGGACATGTGCAAACTTAATAAAAAAAAAAGTCTCTCAATCATTTTTGTTCTGGGACCAGAGCTAGCTGTGCTCAGGGACCCTATATGGTGATGGGGATCAAACCCTGGCTGTTGGCCTGCAAGGCAAGAGGCCTTACCCACTGTACCATATCTACAGCCTGGAAAGACATTTCCCTAACCACAAGCAAACAAACACAAAACAGGGCAGTATGTCTTCATTCTCTACTGTCAATGTCACATTTTGGCTTTCATATGGCATTCATATGGGCCAGTAAACAGCATCTGCTCTGGTTAATAAGTCTTAGTCTTGAAAATTAGTCAATAACATCATATGGCTACATCAAAATTTGTGAAATGATAAAGAAGAGCCCACCTCTCTACCCAATGAACTGAGATACTAAGTATGGCGTTTAACTTGTCAATTTTTACGCACCCTTTAAAAAAAACAAACAAATCCTTAAACATACAGCTCTACTCCACAAAAGTGAAATGACCAAATATTTTTTGAGACCTCAGACCCCCTCCAAAATAAAATCTAAGTTCATTCTCTGATGCACTTAAGAGAAAGTTCTGCAAAACAATGTCACTACACTAGACTGTCATAAGAACCCCAGAAAGGACCTTAAAAACAAATCCCCTTGTTTTTTTTTTTCAGGTGATACAACTCCAATCCCCAAATTAAGAAACCTGGGCACCCACAATCCCCTAGCTGGGGTGGCTCTCAACTTAAACTTCTTCCCATAGCAGCTCCTTCTAGGACACTCACGGTTGGGGGTGGGGGGGGGAGCAAAAACAAAACAAAACAAAACCGGATTCCTCTCTTAGGACCTTCTCCAAGCCTGGGTTTGGGGTTCCGGAAATGCAGGGAGATAACCACTCCCCCAGTCCCCCCACCTTTTACCTTTCCCCTCCGCACCCTCCAGGACCTACAGAAAGGAAGGGGGGGGGGGTGGAGAAAACAATACCATCTAGATTTGCCAATTAGGTACAGGGTTCTGAGCCTCTGGCTACAGTTTCTGAGTTCAATGCACCCAAGTGTTCTTTTTAGTTTAAAAAAAAAAAAACGACCTTCATTCCTTTAATCAACAAATAACATCTAAGGGCCAACGGGCCAACTGCGGCAAGCGCCAGTTGCACACGCCAAGTGCTTAGCCCGAGGACCACCGACCCCGGGAGCCGGGAGCTGGGGAGCCGGGATTCGGGAGCGGAGGACGGGAAGGCGAGGAACGGGGAGCCGGGAGCGGGGAGCGGGAAAGCCGGGAGCGGGGAAGCCGGGAGCGGGGAAGCCGGAGCCGGAGCGGGATGGCCCAGCAGCCGGGCTCCGGGGGCGGGGGGTAGAGGGGGGCACCGGGCCGGGACCCGGCGCCGGAGACTCACCTTTGCGCAGCTCCCGCTCCCACACGGTGACGATGGGCCGCGAGTGCTTGCGGTGGTGGATGAGCCACAGGGACAAGGTCTGCACGCTCTGCTGCGAGTTGCTCAACTCCGACAGCTTCTTCTCCAGCGCCGCTTCGGTGAAGGCGGACATGCCTCCGACGCCGCGCTCACGCCGGCTCGCGCCGTGGGGGGTGGAGGGAGGAGAGTTTCGCGGCTCTCGCCCCGGCCTCGCCCCCTCACCCCACCCTTTCCCCACGCCCTCACCTCCCCGGCCGCCGCCGCCGCCGCCACATCCGAGACCCGCCGCAGACCGGCAAGATGGCCCCCGGCCGGCAGTGACGTCACGGACGTCGTGCCCCGCCCACGGAAGGGGCGGGGCCGACGACGGGGCGGCCTGGGAGCTGCGGAGCGCGGGAGTGTGCGCGGGGCAGCGGGGGGGCGTGCCCGGCCCGGGGCCTCGGCGGGTCCCGGAACCCTGGGGAGAAAACTACTCCTGCTGGGAAACGCTTCCAGATCTCCCTAGAAGCATGTGAAAAAAGCCCCTGGGAAATCCCGTATGACATTTTCAACTACCTTCCTTGTGACCCCTGCAATGTCAGTGCTAGTCGCGATCCCCCAGTGTGAGTGAGCCAGATACTTGCTGCACATCAACCAGTTTTTCTGTTCGGGTCGGTGGAACTGAAAAGCTGAGGTTCACAGCACGTCAACGGCCGAATTCTTGGCGCGTCCTCTGCTTTACAGAGTCCATGAAGCAGTTAAGATAAGTGAATCAAAGGCCAGAGAGATGGTGCAGCGGGTAAGGCGCTTGCTTTACGTGCTGCCAAGCCAGGTTCGACCCCTGGCATCTCATTTGGTCCCTCAGACACCGCCAGGAATAATTCCTGGGTGCAGAGCCAGGAGTAACCCCAGAGCATCGCCTGGTGTGGTCCAAAAACAAACCAAAAAAATAAATAAATAAATCCAAGGCAGGGGAGATGGTGCCAAGGGCTGAGGCATATCGCCAGTTCCCTGAACACCCTGGTAGGGACCACCCCTGCACCAGCTGGAAGTAGCCCCAAGCACTACTGAGTGTAGAAAAAATAACTAAAGAACTAAAAATAAAAGATTTTATAAATGCAACTATATAGTGGATTGGAATTTTCTAGGAAACTACAGTGTAATGTTAGTTTTTTAAAATGTATGCTTTGCATGAATTCAAAGGGATGCAAATGTATAACAAAAGATGTGGAAGAAAACACAGATTTCAGGAAGCATATCAGAACTGGGCTACTTAAGTTGTTCTGTTTTTTAAATTTTATAAATATATGTATATATTTTGAGTCACAGTGACAAAGTTAGAAAACTGCTCATGCTGAGGTTTTAGTCATACAATGTTTCAACAGCTGTCCCTCCACCAGTGTACATTTCCCACCACCAATGACCAGTTTCCCAGTTTCCCTCCCCCTTCTCCCCCCTCCCACTCTGCCTCTATGGGAAGCACTTCTCTCTCTCTCTCTCTCTCTCTCTCTCTCTCTCTCTCTCTCTCCCCCTCTCTGTCTCACACACAACACACACTCTGTCTCTCTCTTTGGGGCACTATGGCTTGCCATACAGATACTGAAAGGTTATCATGTTTGTTCTTTTGCCTAGTTTTAGCACGCACTTCTTGTCCTGAGTGATCATTTCCAACTATCACTGCCATAGAGTGGGCCCTTTACTCTTCTAACTGCCACCTCCTGCAGCACTTGAGGCAGGATTCCAAAGGCGGACCAATTCCCCTCGCCCTTATTGATATCACATTTCAACACAATGCTTGCCTTACCATCATTCATGAAACAAAATAAAAGGAAGGATACTGGCACATTTCACATAATAGAAATTTTGAGAAACCAGAGAAGTTTTTTTTGGCCAAGGGGTGGAGGCATGGGGGAGGGTTGAGGTTACACCCAGCTGTGCTCAGGGCTCAGTTATGGCTCTGAGCTCCCTGGAGGACCCTGGGGACCATACGGAGTGCCAGGCTGTGTGCAAGGTAAATGCTGCCCTTGTACTATCACTCCAGCTCAGAGACTCTTAAATCATCTTTGTTTTTAGGTGCAGGACTATTGCTGATGGGACTCAGGAGTTCTATAAACCACATGATCTGAGTATTTGGGGGTGTTGGCTTTTGGGGGAGGGCCCACCTGGATGTGTTCAGGAATCACTCTTGACAGGGTCCTGGGGACCATGTGAGGTACCTGGGGTCCAACCAGGGCTGGCCACGTGTGAGACATCAGTAGTATACCCTGTTGTATCTCTGCTCTTTTGAATACTGGGGATCAAACCTAGGCCTCCCTCCTGCAGGGCATGTGCTCAGTCTGTTGATATCCCTCCAGTCCTTAAATCTTTTTTGTTGATTTGTTTTGGGGCTACACCCAGAAGTGCTCAGGGATCACTCCTGGTGTGGTTTGACGGATCACACCAGGAATCAGGATAGAACCCTATCAGCAAAGTTATCACTCTGGCTTCCTAAAAGATGATTTTTTTTTTTTGCCTTTTTGGGTCACACCTAGCGATGCACAGGGGTCATTCCTGACTCTGCCCTCAGGAATGGTGCTCAGGGGGCCATATGGAATGCTGGGAATTAAACCCGGGTCGGCTGCATGCAAAGCAAATCCCCTACCCTCTGTGCTATCGCTGCAGCCCCAATGATTATCTTTAAGAGGCACAATTCAGGGGCCAGAGCAGCAGGTAGTGCACTTGTTTTGCACACTGCAGATCTGGAATAGAACTTCAGCACCCCATATGGGGAGGAGAAAGAGGAGGAGGAGGAGGAGGAGGAGGAGGAGGAGGAGGAGGAGAAGGAAGAGAAAGAGTAGGAGAAGAAGGGGAAGGCAGAAGAGGAGGAGGAGGAGGAAGAGAAAGAAGAAGGAGAAGGACTGTTCAAGAGGTAGAAGAGATTGTACATCATGTAGATTGGTTGCCTCCAACGCACCTGGAACCCAGTCTCATCCCCAATGAATGGTCTTTAAGCCCCATCAGGAGTGGTGACTGAGCACAGAGCTAGAGTAAACTCTGAGTCCAGCATCCCCTCCCTCCAAAAAAGAAGAAACATTGTTTAAGAACTTTGTACCACATAGGTATCAAATGTGTGCATTCATTTAATTTTAAATATAGGTTACCTTCCCTATTTGGGGGGAAGGGGTGGACAGACCCAGCTGGAAACCCAAGCTAGTTGCATGCATAATCGACTGTGCTGTTGCTCTGGCCCAAACCTTTCCTATTTTGAATGTTACTATGGCTTGGGGTTCAAAGATAACTTAAAAAGGTGAATTATGTTTTCTCTTTCTCCTGCTTTAGGCTGACTAAGAAAGAGAGGAAGATGGAGTTTTAGGATTTATGATGGCCTTTAAAGTTCCATTCCAATAGTTTAAAACAAAACTGCTCCAATAGTTTTCCCATTCTCCATTGTGTATCCTTTGTTTATCTGATCTGCTGTTTAGTCTTTTGCATAATCTCGGTCTGAATTTACCCAGACTCCTAAGGATAAATTGAACCTCATCCTTTCCATGAACCTTGCAGTCACCAAGGTGATTAATTTATCTTCTCTCAAGTTTCATCTTCAACTTTTCTACTCCCTTATCCCAATTTTACCCTAAACTTTATTTTGGTGGGGGTGTTTTTGGGGGGCCATGCCTGTCCAATATACAAGGGTTACTCCTGGCTCTGCACTCAGATATCACTCCTGGTAGTACTCAGGGGACCACATGGGATGCTGAGAATCAAACCGAAGTCAGCCACGTACAAGGCAAGTGGCCTGGGACCTGACATATTGTCTCTGGCCCTCTACCCTAAACTTTATTTATTTATTTATTTATTTTTGCTTTTTGGGTCACACCCGGCGATGCTCAGGGGTTACTCCTGGATTTGCACTCAGGAATCACTCCTGGCAGTGCTCGGGGGACCATATGGGATGCTGGGAATCAAACCTGGGTCAGCCACATGCAAGGCAAACGCCCTACCCACTGTGCTATTGCTCCAGCCCCTCTACCCTAAACTTTAAAGGCCATCATAAATCCTTAAACTCCATCTTCCAGTTCTTTCCCAGACAGCCTAAAGCAGGACATTACTTAGTTACTTCCTGTGTTTTTTACTCGCTTGATTGCTTTATAGGGCTGGAGCGATAGCACAGCGGTAGGGTGTTTGCCTTGCACGCAGCCAACATGGCCGACCCGAGTTCGATTCCTCCGCCCCTCTCTGAGAGCCCGGCAAGCTACCGAGAGTATCTCGCCCCCACGGCAGAGCCTGGCAAGCTCCCCGTGACGTATTCGATATGCCAAACACCGTAACTACAAAGTCTCCAATGGAGACGTTACTGGGCCCACTCGAGCAAATCGATGATCAACGGGAGGGCCTTTACTTTACTTTACTTTTTGATTGCTTTATTGAACACATTTAGCATGGAGCAGATAGCACAGTGAGTAGGGCGTTTGCCTTGCACGCGGCCTGCCCACGGCCTGCCCGGCGACCAGCGTTTGATTCCTCCACCCCTCTTGGAGAGCCCGGCAAGCTTCCAAGAGTATCTTGCCCGCACGACAAAGCCTGGCAAGCTACCCGTGACGTATTAGATATGCCAAACACAGTATCAACAAGTCTCACAATGGAGACGGTACTGGGCCCACTCGAGCAAATTGATGAACAACGGGAGTGACAGTGACAGTGACAGTGACTAGTATAGTAGGATAATGTAAATCAACAAATATATATATGTATATATATATATATAGATATATATATATACTACCTATCTACCTATCTTGGTAGCTTGCCGGCTCTTCAAGAGGGATGGAGGCTTTTGGGGGAGCCTCTAATCACCTTTACAGGTGTTCCAAGTCAGACATATATGCGGGCAAACTATAGAGAGTATCCTGCCCGCACGGCAGAGTCTGGCAAACTACCCATGGCATACTCAATATGCCAAAAACAGTAACAATGATGGTCCCAATAAACCTAAGCTCCCTGTGGCAAGGCAGAAAGGACAAATCAATGTTATCCTACAGTGGATTGATCATGTGGGTTGCTGAGGACCAAGTTATAGTCAACCATGTGCAAGGCAAACATCTTACCCACTGTACTATAGTCCCTGACCCCAACACTGGTTTTTTGTTTTGTTTTGTTTTGTTGAAGTAAAGACAAAATTTATTTGGAGGGTTTTAAGGAGAGAGGGAAAATCAGAGTGGAGAGGCTGGAGCAATAGCACAGTGGGTGGGGCATTTGCCTTGCACACAGCGGACTCGGGTTCGATTCCCAGCAACTCATATGGTCCCCTGAGCACTGCCAGGAGTAATTCCTGAGTGCAGAGCC